CACTAATAAAAATATTAAAGAGAATGGGTCCAAGTACAGATCCCTGTATGTGCACACATCCAATCAAACGTCAACACTTCATAAAAACACAAGCTCTAAACACAAGTACACCACTGCATTCAAATGCCAACACCTTATACAAAATACATACATACATTCATGCTTACATTTAAACACAAACACTGCTCACAAACACAGCTTTGCTAGGATGGGCACACGGTAGATCCCCAGCAGTTAAAGCATTGTGGGAGATGTACAGATGGGGATTTACGTTTTGGCTTGTGCTAGAGGGAGCCCCCCCAAAAATTCTTGTACCAAGGCCCTCTCTACATAAGTTCCGCCACCAGTTTGACCGTTTACACTGGAGGAGCACTAGGGCACTTCTGGTACCATAAGTACTACAGTGTTCTGCAAGATCAGCCTTTTCAATGTCAAACATCACATAACTAAGTTAAAATCGGTTATGAGCGCAAAATCACTTCTAGTGGCCATCAGGAAGACAGCCACTAGAGGTGTGTTTAGCCCTGCAATCAAAACATTGCTGCATCTACTAAATGGCAATGTTTTAGATTGAAGGGCTGTATCTATTAAAAGGCAGTTTTCTAGATTGGAGGGTTGCAGTGGTGGCTTAAGACTTTGTGAGGCCTTAGGCAAAACTCAAACATGCTAATAATCTACTCTAAGGTCAGCCCCTGTGTGTATTCCCTACATGGCCAATTATACAATTATATATGGACACCTCGCCATCACATTTATATTTCAAAACCAATGGCAATAATATGAAGCGAGTACAGCGACAACTCAGTGCGGAAAGCTTAAGACTGTGTCAGTGGGAATTTGTGCCCAGTCTAGTAGGTTCTCCTTTTATCTGCCACATCTAGATTCTTCCATCAGACTGCCAGATAATGAAGGTGGTGTTCTCCAGAGAACACTGCTGCAAAGTACAGTGGTACAGTGGCAGTATACACAACTCAAGCTAATGCATTGCACATGTCAAGCTTATGTACAGATATTCAGTCATGGAAATCCATTTCTTGGAGCTCACATTGTATAGATCTTGTGCTAATTTTCCTGCCAGAGACAGTTTAGAACACTGTAGTGAGTGATGCAAGAGATGTTAGGTGATTTTTACACCCTACATGTTACAACACTAGGCACCTGGGCTCTCAAAGTATGCTTGGCCTATCACTTTGTGGCAGGGCCGTTGTTTCTTTTACATGCTTTTATGATTTTACAATAAAAGTACGGTACAGTTGAGCATGTCTAGTAAGACAGACAGTTCACAAACTTACTTGTTCAAAGGTACACTATATTCACCAAAAAAACTTCAGCTTAATGAAGCAGTTTTAGTGTATAGATCATGCCTCGGGTTTTACTGCTCAATTATCTGCCATTTAAGAGTTAAATCACTTTGTTTCTGTTTCTGCAGCCCTTGCCACACCTCACCTAACTCTAATTGACAGAGTCTGTAAAAAAAAAACTGGTTTCACTTTCAATCAGTTGTAATTTACCTTAAACAATTGTATTTCTTGCTCTGTAAATTGAACTTTAATAATATACAGGGTCTAGCAGGCTACTAACATAACAGGGAATAAGAAAATCTAAATGAAACAGAACTTGCAATAAAGAAAAGATAAACTTTAGATGACTATTTACAGGAAGTGTTTAGGAAGGCTGTGCAGGGAGGCGTGACTAGGGTTCATAAACAAAGTGATTTAACTCCTAAATGGCAAATAATTGAGCAGTGAGGCTGCAGGGGCATATTCTATACACCAAAACTGCTTCATTAAGCTAAAGTTGTTTTGGTGACTATAGTGGTATAGTGTCCCTTTAATGAAGCAGTTTTGGTGTCATTTTAGATCATGCCTCTGAAGTTTCACTGCTCAATAATCTGCAATTTAGGAGTTAAATCACTTTTGTTTATGTAGCCCTAGCCACACCTCCCCTGGCAGTGACTGACACAGAATGCATGAAAACAAAATGGTTTCATTGTCAATCAGATGTAACTTACTTCAAATGTTTTTGTCTCCTGCTCTGTAATAAAGTTTTAATTACATACAGAAGGCTCCTGTGGGGTCTAGGAAGCTATCAACAGAGCAGGAGATAAGAAATTCTAAATTAAACAGAATTAGCAATAAAGGAAGTGTAAACATTAGATGACTCCTTATATGAAGTGTTTAGAATGGATGTGTAAGTCCCATGCAGGGAGGTGTGTAAACAAAGTTTTTTAACTCCTAAATGGCAGATAATTGAGCAATGAGACTGCAGGGGCACGACCTACACACCAAAACTGCTTCATTAAGCTAAAGCTGTTTTGCTGACTATAGTGTCCCTTTAAAGTTACTGAGCTCTTCAGTACTGCCAATCTCTACGGAGATTTCATAGCTACATGCTGGATTGTATTCACCTGTTATCATTAGGTGCTACCATATAATGTATTTAGTGGGCTTGATATCTGTCTTAAAGGGATACTCCAACCAAAACCAACTTTTTATAAAACACTGTTTTTTGTTAGCGTAACCCTTGCTGAGCTGATCTGGTCCCCCCATAGCATATAAAAACAGATAAATAAAACATAAAGCAATAAATTACTTCTGTTCCAGTACTGAGGCCAAGTTCTCCACTCAGCCCAATCCTGCTCTGCGGACGTCACTATCCCTAGCTGGAGGGGAGGGGGGGATGAAAGGAGAGAACATTGACTGTACATGGGGGAATGTGCCAACATTCGATGCCTGTCATCAGCATGCTGTATGTACCAACATCAGACCACCAATATACACAGAGTTTTCATTAGCCAGCCCGGGAACTCTTGTTTTGGGCTGGCTAATGACACCCTAATGACACTTTCAGAGGAAGAGATACACCACCAGCAGGAGAGGGATTAAACTCTGCATGTGCAGGGTTTCATAGCACATACAGACTCCAGGCACCATGACCACTTCAAATGCTTGGAGGAACATTGTAAAGAAGCTCAAATGGAGTAAATCATTACTGAAGTATAACACTTATGGCTCTTGTTAATTATTCCCCTGCCAGCCCTGGGGAAGTTTCCATTAGTGTTCTATTATATGGTTTTGGCCAGTAAGCTTGTTGACAAGCCTCTGCCCTTCATCAAAAACCATTGAAGAAAATTCGCATTCACACACTTAAGAAACCTAAGTGAAATGCGAAACATGGACGATATATGCCCAAGTGCTATAATGTTGATATCTGTATCTTGTACTGTTGCACAGAGTACTCCTTGCAGTTTCTGCAATAGGATAGTAAGTTCCTCCTCAATGAAACAACCAGTGTGAAGTTAGCATATGCCACAGATAATGACACTGTCAGCACCCCCCAACACACTGGCAATCCTATGCTCCCCCTTGCAAAATCTAAATTTCTTCTTTTTTTTTTTTCTTTGGCAATATATGAAATAAAAATAAAATTACGATAATGCTGGCAGGGTGCATTGTGGTCTGCACTTCCGCCACAATAAATTCTCATTCGCAATTCTGGAGTTAAAAAAAAGAACAAAGAGAGCAACTCCCAAGTTACCCAGCCCGTCCTTTAAGTAATACATAAGCAGTAGACCAGAAGAAGCATTTATTGTGCTCAATTATTAACCCCCTCCGAACCACAATGGATCAGAACGTCACAGCCAATTTCCTATAGAAAGTTAAGTGGGAAGAGAAAAGACACACAGCCAACACATTACTCACAAAAGTATTAGTTCAATTGTCGTGAAGCACTCTGATATACCAATATTCACTGTATATTACTGAAAGTTTTTTTGGTATGGAGCTCTCTGATATACTCACATACAGTGAACACTGCTGTGACGAATTTAGGGTCGTATCCTACCATCCTGATTTAATCCCCTGGTTTCCAGCATCTGGGTACTCCAGGAGACTGGTATTCCAGGCACCAAAACAACTTAATCTAAATGAAGCTGTTATGGTGCCAGAGGGCCCCTCGAGGCACTCTTACCTCAAGGGGTTAAACCATTCTCGAACGGTTTAACTCCTATATTGCCTTCAGCTGTGAAGTCCACTCTCCCCTAGGCAGCATCCGGTTTCTGCATGTTCCGTTTCAGGAAATGCGTAGTCCCGCCGGACATGGGCGCCGCTGATTGGCAGAGTGGTTAGCTGATGCTCTCAGCCAGTCAGTGACTCCCCATTCACTAAACTGGCTTGTAAACAAACGTACATTTCTCAAGCCAGTTTAGTGAATGGGAATCACTGACTGGCTGAGTGCTTCAGCTGACATCTCTGAGTCAATCAGCGATGCCCCTGCCCAGGAGCACTCCGCACTTCCAGAATCTGAAAATTCAGGAGCCAGATGCCGCCTTGGGGGTGTGGACATCGCCGATGGAGGCAACTTAGTGGTTAAACTGTGTTGTGCTACATGCAAATACTGCTTCATTAAGCTAAAGTTGTTAGTGTCCCTTTAAGATCAAAATAGCCAAACTGGAGACATTCTCTAAGTTAGCTATGCTTCAAGTTCAATAAACATTTTAATTATTCATTAATATGTGGGGATTCAAAGAAAGTTCAATGTGAATTTCAAATGATAGGCCAAAATAGCTAAATTGGAACACAACTTTGTTTTCAGTTTATCTAATTTAAGCTAAAGTTTGAAATTCACTGGTTGCTTTCAAATATAGGATATAAGATTTTGAAATTGCAAAAATATATAAGAAATTGAAGCAGGATGTTGAATTTTGGCACTGAAAATGGGCATGAAGATTTAGGGTGGAAAAAGGCAATTGGAATTGTTATGAGGTCAATATATCTGTAGTGGTAGCTATAAGGATGTTATAGACACAAGGATTTATATGGCGGGTTTAGATTTTGTAGCAGTATATGTCTGGTTGGCAAAAGCAATGGGATCTTTAAGTATCTGCAGTGGGTGCTGCAAAATGGGTATAGATAATGGATTCCTACCAACATTTTAAACAAAGAGGGGCAATAATTTTAGGAGTGTGAATGGAGGCATGACCATCAAAGGAGCTGTTGCGGGGGGCGTGTCCAACAGCCGGCGCGTGCGGTCGCATGGAGTAGGAGCTCCCGGCCACAACGGACCCGAACGCAACATTTAGGCGAACCCGGAGGTCAATTCCCGGTAAAAAACTTACCCGGCACTTAATACAGCGACATGGCACCGTCCAAACAATTAAAAATGACGGACCAAATGAAAACCGCCAGAAAAGAAAAAAGTAGGCCCCTGCAAGATGGCGACGACAGCATGGGCTGCTATCCGACACCAGATCAGCTTTCAGATAATGACACAACGCCCTCCTCATACACAGAGGCACCAGCCAGCGAAAAAAGGCTGTTTATAATGCTGCAAGACCTGAGAACCACCTTAAATGCGGACATGAAACAAATGACTGCAGAATTTAAGCGGGAATTGGCCGACATTGGGGACCGCACTGACCGCCTGGAGGTACGGACGGAAGAACTGTGCGCCACACAAAATGACCTTGCAGAACAACTGCAGGCGCTCAGGGAAGAACACCTAACACTGAAAAGGAAAACGGCAGATATAGAAGACCGCTCCAGGCGCAATAATGTAAGATTCAGAGGCATCCCCGATAGTATATCCCACGACGCACTCCCTGACTATATAACAGGCCTCTGCACCACTCTGGCGCCGGCCATTGAGAAAGACAGATGGCTTATGGACAGGGCCCATCGCATTCCTCGGCCACCGCGATTCACGAGTGACACACCAAAAGACACGGTGGTCAGATTCCACTTCTTCAAGTCAAAAGAAACACTGATGGCTGCGGCGCGCAAACTACAGCAGCTCCCCTCACCATACCAAGGCATCCAGGTATACGCAGATCTCTCAGCGCTCACCATGGAAAGGAGAAGGGAATTCATCACAGTCACGAAGACTCTACGCAACCATAACATACAATACCGCTGGGGATACCCAACTAAACTCCTACTATGGAAGGACAACACGCATCATAATATTGACACTCCTGATGAGGGCCTACAACTCCTGCGAAAATGGGGACTATTTGGGACCAAAGACCCTCCACCACAGAAACAACATGCGCACCAACGACTGCCGACGGAATGGCACATGGCGGGCTCACCTAAGCCACAGCAACCACAACAAAATGTATAACGGGACTAAGTGTAGAGTACAAGAAAGACCAGGTCTATATGTGACATCCCTCAACTGAAGAGACACCAATATGTATGTATGTATGCACTGACATGATTGACACACTAACACTGCATACCTCAGATATCCACTCCATCCGAGTTCATAATAGGCTCTGGCAAGGCGACACAAAACACAAAGAAAAAAAAAGAAAAAAAAAAAACACGCCTTACTTCACACATTTGTTTAAAGGGCCGTTGACACGGCAGCACACCTCAGTTCACGCCTCCCAGGTTGATCCGCGGCCCGGTTCAGGAGCGGTCCGCAGACCAACCAAGTACAATGCCCGCATCCCAAGGGGCATCATGTATATACCTTGTTTATGTTTTGTTGTTTTCATTAATGTTAATGTTTATGTATATGTTCATGTACCTACCACTGCCCAATACCCGGCTAAGCCACCTGAAACCAGGCAAACACTCCCGAACCAAGAGTATCCCGAGCCAACCCTTAGAGGCGCAACCTGATACGCGCAGCACTAAAACAAGGCGAACTAACTTCCCCCCAGATGAATGCCTAGCACTAACTGCACCCAACTCCCCTGACCCACAACCCTGATGGCTAACACATTACAACTACTTTCTCTTAACGTTAAAGGCCTTAACAGCCCCCACAAACGAAGGTTAGCTGCGCAGGAACTACGTTCATCCAAGGCAGCAATTGCCTGCCTGCAGGAAACCCATTTCTGTAAACGTAATCCACCGAAATTCTCAGTGAAACAGTATGCACAGGCCTTTCATGCCTTCTCCCCAACTAAATCCAGGGGAGTCTCTATATTCTTCCACGACGATTGGGCATTCACGATGAGCAAACAGCATACCAATAGAGACGGCAGGCTACTTATATTGGTGGGAGCCTTAAACGGTATAGAAATTACCATAGCCTCACTGTATGCACCCAATGAGGGCCAAAAATCATTTCTCACCTCAGCAATGAGAAAACTAGACAGATATAAGAGGGGCCATGTAATCTTATGTGGCGACTTTAATTGCACGACTGATCCATTTGCGGACGTAAAACGAACGGGGAACAAAGGCCCCAAAAGCACGTCTATCTCACTAGGACGCCACATGACCAAATTAATCACGCTACATGACCTCTATGACTCATGGAGATGCCTCCACCCCGCAGACAGGGACTATACGTACTTTTCCCCGGTCCATATGACATATTCTAGGATAGACTTATGCCTCATTGACAAGAGCACCCTAATACACCTTGTTGACGTCTCTATAGGTCCAATAACATGGTCTGACCACGCGCCGCTTGCGGTTACGCTTCGCGTCCCGTACCCGGCTTGTGGAAGGGGCACATGGCGCATGAATGAAGCTTTAGTGGACAACCCAGACAACACCAAAACCTTAAACAAACAAATCACCGACTTCTTTGAGAATCACGCAAACTGCACAACAAATATTACAACCCAGTGGGTAACACATAAGGTGGTAATAAGAGGGGCACTCATTCAAATGGGAGCTAAAAACAAACGACGAACATGCTTGCAGAAAACTGACCTAATATCGAAACTCACAACTTTAGAAGCCTCCCATAAGCAAAAACCCAGAAAACATACCCAGAAACAATTAGAACAAATACGGCTCCAACTCCATGCCATAGATCTGAACAACACCGAAAGGCACATGCGCTATCTCAAACAATCCCACTATGTTGAGGGCAATAAAGCAGGGAAATTGCTAGCTAGGAGACTTAAAAAAAGATATCAAGCGTCTAAGCTGCCATACATAACGTCCGCAGCAGGTGACAAACTCTTCAACCCACAAGACATGGTGGAGGAATTAGCCTCCTACTACGCCATGCTTTACCAACTAGATAATGACAGGACTACTTATCAACCTACAAGGAGAGACTTACAAGCCTTCTTTACTGACATTACCCTCCCGACCCTTACCCAAGAACAGAAAACCTCTCTAGAAAGGCCATTCACAGATGAGGAAATCCGTTCCACGATAAAGTCTTTACCAAAACGAAAAGCGTCAGGCCCAGATGGATTAACGAACCACTACTACCACATATTTGGAGACATACTGACCCCACATCTTACCAAACTTTTCAACCATATTAAACAAGTAGGAGCTGTCCCACCAGAAATGCTGGAAGCCCATATCGTAACCCTTCCAAAGCCCAACAAACCCCCCACCATATGTGCCAATCTCCGACCCATCTCCCTACTAAATGCTGATATCAAACTTTACGCCAAACTGCTAGCCAACAGAATAAAACCATTCCTACCCAGATTAATCTCGAAAGAGCAAGCAGGGTTTGTCCCCGGAAGGCAGGTAGGAGACAACACCAGGCACTTTATCAATCTAATAGAATGGGCACATAAATCGAACCAACAAGGGATTCTCCTGGCTCTCGACGCTGAAAAAGCGTTCGACCGCCTGAACTGGGAATATATGACGATGACACTCGAAATCATGGGATTCCCCCAACCCTTTATAACCAGCATTTTGGCGTTGTATAGCTGCCCTTCGGCAAAAATATATAACACCGGATTCCTCTCAAAAACCTTTAATATCCGCAATGGCACACGCCAGGGGTGCCCACTCTCTCCACTCATCTTTATCTTGTGCTTAGAACCCCTGATCTATAACATAAAAAATAACCCCTCAATCCGAGGGCTCAACACCCCAACAGGGGAGCAAAAACTGGCCCTTTTTGCGGACGACATAATAGTATTTATGACAAAACCGATACAATCTATCCCGGCTCTCACTAGAACACTGAACTCATATGGGTCGGTATCATACTACAAAAATAATGCAGCCAAAACCCAAGCCCTCCCCATAGGCTTACCACATAATATAATTAAAACACTGAAGGAAACACATAACTTCGACTGGCGGTCGAAATCGATTCAATATTTGGGGATAAAACTGACAAAAAATGTGCACTCACTAACGACGGAAAACCACACACCTATGATTCATAAACTAATGACCCAAATGAACAAGTGGGAAGGACTGGAGGTGTCATGGTTGGGGCGCATTAACACCATCAAAATGATGATCCTGCCACATGTGCTCTATCTCTTTCGCACACTTCCCATACCCCTGTCAGCCAAACTGCTAAAAAGGTTCCAAACCATAATCAACGCCCATGTATGGAAACGCAAACCACCCAGACTGGCTGCTGCCAAACTAAGCCTTCCATACACGAGAGGAGGACTGGGAGTACCAAACATCCGTAACTACTATAGAGCATCCCTTCTTGCACAAGGCCTACGTATAATCCGAACCACGGGCGCCGACCAAACTCCACTATGGCTAACCCTCGAAAACGCCTGCATACACCCAGCCACTATCCCAAATGCTCTCTGGCTCCACGAGCCTAAATCAGTGGGTAAAGAAGGACTATGGTGCACGCAAACAACACTACATACTTGGGAACGTTGGGGTCCAGAGGTAATAGACGCACAGACACTACATAAGGAAGCACCACTAACTGCACTGCAGACCAGCTCACCCGACCTCTCCCTCCTCACATGGTCAAACCTAGGAATACATAAAATAAAAGACTTATACACCCAAAACGAACTGAAAACATTCCCCACTCTGCAAAGCGAATTCTCCCTCAATCCAAGAGACATCTTTACATACCTAAGGGTTAAGAACATACTACAAACACGTATTAAACCGGCAGCACCCACACCACCTTTAGCAATACCCTCAGCCCGTTATATACTGACATCCCGCTCCATCAAACCACTAGCCTTATGCTATAATGCACTAGAAAAGGGAAAATCCATGCATAAACACTCCTATATGGAAAAGTGGGAGGAAGACATAGGGGAGCCAATCACTATACAACAATGGTATGACGCCTTCCAAGCCACTAAACGAGCATCAAAAAGCCTATCTCTGTGGGAAGCATATAGCAAAATAGCAATGCGTTGGTATCTAGTCCCCCTCAGATTGGCAAAGATATTCCCCAACACCTCACCACTATGCTGGAGATGTGAACAACAACAAGGGTCTCTACTGCATATTTTCTGGGAATGCCCAGTCATAAAACCATTTTGGATCGCTATCCAAAAAGTCATAAGGGAAACTACTAACTTGTCAATTCCACTACACCCAGCACACTACCTACTCCACATACTACCTACGACAAGCCCAACAAGAAACCCATTAAGCACAATCGCCATAATCATACTAACCGCGGCCAAAGTCGCGATCGCATCAAAATGGAAACACAACGTGCCCCCAACTCAGGAGGAAGTAACACGCAGAGTAGACAGTATATGCATATATGAACAGATGGCACACAAAATACAGGGAACATCTGAGAAACACAACACCTACTGGAGAGGATGGCTGGACGCCCGGAAAGAGACGGTACAGGTAGACAATCACTAACCTACATACAAAACTAAGACAGCTGAAATCGGGAGAAATTGCATCACACGGAGAGTGCAACTTACGGCAACTGACAAACAGACGGCCCCATAAGGACCCAAACACATACACTGCACGCACTTAGCTTCTAGGCCGGATGGGTCAGACGTACAGTCAAATTATAGGTACAGTTAAAGTTAAAGGTTATCCCCTCCCCAACCCCTCACCCTATCCCCGGTTGAATGATATGACAGACACACCTAAAGTCACAGACTCAACAATAAAGAGGCACAGCAACCTCAAATTCTAAACAATAATCGCTCTCACCCAGCCCCTACGCAGACGACAACCACGAAATAAGCGCAACACGAGCGACATTAAGACACGATACACATAGGTTAGAAGGACTACCTTATAAAGCTGAAAATGTTATAAACGACAAAGATGACATTATTGCAACAATGTTTGATGTAAATGGTCTATGTGCTGCTGACAGGCTTTATAGTGGGTCCCCAGTCTTCAGGATCATACAGGAAACGCTGCTAAAGCGCTCGTGCTTCACACGGACAGTTCCCTCGTGTTACTAGATGCAGGTCTCCAGGGAACTAAAGCAGTATGGCAGTCCAGGACCCGGAAATCAGAACTCTCCCACCAAATACGGGACTGTTGGGAGGCCTGTGTCCCTGCTATAAAACTTCTGTTTCCTGTACCCGGCCAGTGTTCTATCAAATTTCCCTACCCGTGAAAATCCCCTACCCTCGTCACTTCCGGTGAGGGGAATCAGCTGGTCCTGGAAGGTAAGTAAAGCTAGTTTTACACTTTCATTATAGTTTGTGCATTCACTAAGCTTAGGACATGGGACATTTAGGGTTAATGTTAGGGTTCAAATTAGGGTTAGGATTTGGGACTTGTTCATATTTAGTGATATTTCACATTAGGGGAATATCACTAAATTGTGCTTTGTCACACTTTATTTTAACCCTTACCCCAAGGGTTAGGGTAAGAATGTAGTGTGAGAGAGGTTAGAATCACTTACCTAACCCTGATTTGTACCCTCACTTAACCCTAAATGTCCCGTGTGCCTAAGCTTAGTGAATGCACTAACTATAATATTGAAGCAGGAAGTTGAATTTTGGCACTGAAAATGGGCATGAAGATTTAGGGTGGAAAAAGGCAATTGGAATTGTTATGAGGCCAATATATTTGTAGTGGTAGCTATAAGGATGTTATAGACACAAGGATTTATATGGCGGGTTTAGATTTTGTAGCAGTATATGTCTGGTTGGCATAAACAGTGGGATATTTAAGTATCTGAATGCACTAACTATAATGAAAGTGTAAAACTAGTTTTACTTACCTTCCAGGACCTTGCTGTGGAGGAGTAGCAGGACTGCTACCACGCATGTGCAGCACAGGAGCCAGCTGATTCCCCTCCCCTCACCGGAAGTGACGAGGGTAGGGTATTTTCACGAGGCAGGGGATTTTGATGAGAGAGAGCACTTCCTGTCAGTCCGGCCGGTACAGGAAACAGAAGCTCCTGTACTGCGGTCTGCTCTGCTCTGCTCGGCTAGGCTACAAGAAAGGTAGGGAACTTATCGGGGTTCAAGGGGGGGATAGAGAGGGGCACTAAGGAACAGGGGTGGTAAGGAACATTATGGAATAGGGGGGAGGGGTTGGTAAAGAACACTATAGGACGGGGGGGTGGTAAGGAACACTATTGGATGGGGGTAAAGAACACTATGGGACAGGGGAGGCGGGGTGGTAAGGAACACTATAGGACGGGGGGATGAAAAGAACCCTATGGGACAAGGGAGGGGGGAAAGAACACTATGAGGGAGGGGGTGGAGAACATTATGAGGGAGTGGGGACAGAACACTATGGGGGGGAAGAACACTAAAAAAGAGGGATGGGAGAGGAACACTAGGGGGGGACAGAGGAACATTAAGGGGGGGCATTAAGGTACAGTGGAGGGAAGGGAAAATGAACACTGGGGTGGGGAGAGGACCACTAAAAGAGAAGGGAGAGGAACATTAAAGGGAGTGGGGGGGACTAAGAGACAGGTAAGGAAGGGAGGAGAGGAACACTAATAGACATGGAGGGGAGGAGAGAGGAACACTAAGGGACATGGAGGGGAGAGTGGCACACAGGGGGGCCTGAGTGGGGAGAAAGACACACAGAGGAACATGAGGGGGGAGAAAGACACACAGATGGGCCTGGTGGTGAGGAAGTTCTCAGAAGGGCCTGGATGTGGAAATAAAAAGGGGCTGGGGTGAAAGAGACACAGAGGGGCTGGGGAAGAGGAAAAAGAGACACAGGGGGAGATAGAGGGACTGGTGGTGAAAGAGAAACCCAGAAAGGAGCTGTAAGGGAGGCGGGGCTTGACTGGATAGCTGAATGGATGCATATTACACGAGCTCCTGAGCTCAATAAGCTAAAACTACACTTACTTGCAGTCAAACAGCAAATTCTACCGCAAAACTCACGGGCTGAAAAGAGGGGATCGTGGTGATCCGACTGACAACATACTCGGAACCTCTCAGGTTTGGATTACCAGCCCTCAGCCTTCTGCGGCCTACAAGCGCATCAGGCGCCGGAGAGATGCCGCTCTCCAGAGCTGACTCCTGCTAATCATAGCGGACATCTGTCTCCCGGTCCTAGGAGGCTCTCCACCACTACACCCAATGCCTCTCGGGCAGTATCGCGGAGCAGCGTCCTAGATGGCGGAGAACACAGGCAGCCCCACAACTGAGGCCTACCTTGCAGCCTCTCAGGCATGTCTGAATTGAATCTTCAACAGTTTTTGGGCAAAATTGGCAGCACGGCAGCCGGGTACACCAAAACCTGACCGACACACAGCTGAACCGGTGAAACCACAGACCTGCTTGCACAGACCCGCTAAGCACCCAGACAGACAAGAGGTGCCCCCGCAAGATTCAGCGATCACCGAAAACGCATGCCTGTGACCCCACGGAGGCTTGGAAAACCCAGTAGAAAGCATGTTGCAGTGGGAAGCAGGACGGGGCCCAAGCAAATGGGACTCTGACATCCACAGCCCCACAATATGGCGGATCTTTAGGCAGGGACACCATGTGGCACTCAGATGCAGCACAGCCTCACACTCTCCCCAAGGGGGTATACCTGCATGAAACTTGCCTACTACAGAGCAACCACCGATCTCCCTACAGACTGGGCATTGGATGAGGGGGTTAGACCCGGGCTGCCCGATTGCACATTACAGTGCTGACACTGGCACAGATGACATTACAGACCCTGCTTAATTTGGTGGACTCATGTTATAAATCTGCTTTTACGTTCTTAAGTTAACCTAAACCTTTTACTCTTACAAAAGCATGGTCTTACCTACGAATTGCCTATATTTTATTTAAGAATGGTTCTCAGTATTTTGTTTATTCTTAACATATGTCTCCATTCCAATCAATAGCCTCAGTGTACCTTTCCTAATAGCATAACTGGCAGGTTTTATTGCATATATGAAGGCCCCACTTAAACGGTTCCCACCCTGAATTATGTGTCCTCTAACCAGGCTATACCCTACGTGACATATACCTGATGGTTTGATGGGTTCACCCAACCTATGTGTACTGAGGACCACTTCTCTTTGATAATCATTGTATTACTCTGTTTCCTTAATCTACTGTTACAGTCCAGCAGGTCAACATAATTTTGAGCATTTACTGCAATATAGCAACCTGGACGTATGTTATCTAGTCTGTAACAATCCTCTTATTAACAAAAATGTGCTTACTCATCAAGACCATGAAAATGTTATGTATGTCTTATCGTACACTTGCTAATGCTACTGTGGCCTTGCAAGGCTATCTGTGTTACTCTGCACACAAAAAATAAAGAATAATATTTTTCTTTTTAAAAGGAGCTGGTAAGAGTAAAAGACACAAAGGGGCTGGAGGGAGTAAGACACACAAAGGGGGGTTGTAAGAGATACACAAGGGAGTTGTAAGACACACAATGGGGAAAAATAGGAGATAAGATACACTAAAGAGGGTAAGTTAATTAAAAAGGGGGATAAGAAACAAAAGGTGGGTTAAGAGACACACAGGTGAAGATGCTTTTGGGTAAGGGGGTGGAGGAGGGGGCGCCAAAATCATCTTCATCTGTGTACCTAAAAATCCTTGCACCATTCATGGATATGTATGATAGACAGAGGCATTGGAGACTGTAGATAACCACTGTAAAGTGTGTAAAATGGGTCCTTGATGAAGTGGTTAAAGGAACGCTCCACTGGCCCCCGACAAAAAAGTGAGCTAAACATCCAGGAAGCAACAGGACCGGTTGTCTGACTGACAGCCAAGGGGGTGTAAAAAGGTTAATTTTATAATAATGCCAATTTCTATTGAAATCTGCACTTTTTGTAAAATGGAAAAAAAGCGGACACATTCTTCACACATAAAGCACTTCATCAAGCTAAAGTGCTTTAAATGTTTTTGTGTTCCTTTAAGAATCACTAGTAGGCACACTGTATCTGCAATGAAAGCTCTAATGCAGTGGTTCCCAACCCAGTCCTCAAGTCCAACCAGTCCAGGATTTAGGGATTACCCTGTTGTGTCTAAAGTGTTTTTTCTTTTTTTATAAAAACACCTTAGACACAACTGGGTAATGCCTGAGTCCTGGACTGTTAGGGGGTACTTGAAGACTGGGTTTGGAACCACTGCTCTAAAGTACCAAGTGATAAATGAGGTGTCACTAGAATATGGTGACCCAGTGATATGCAAGGTGGCACTGGGATGGGGTGACAATTATGTGGTAGTAGTGGGATAGAGATGACACAGTGATTTGTATAGTAGTGGGATAGCGGTAACACAGTGATTTGTAAATTAGTAGTGGGATAGAAGTGACAGCGATTTTTATAGTAGTAGTGGGATAGGGGTGACAGTGATCTGTATAGTAGTAGTGGATAGTGGTGAAACAGTGATTTATATAGTAGTAGTGGATAGGGATGACACATTGATTTGTATAGTAGTGTGATAGTGGTGGCAGTGATTTGTATAGTAGTGGATAGTAGTGGTAGTGATTTGTATAGTAGTGGATAGTGGTGACAGTGATTTGTATAGTAGTAGTGGGATAGTGGTGGTAGTGACTTGTATATTAGTGACTTGTATATTAGTAGTGTATAGTGGTGGTAATGATTTGTATAGTAGTAGTGGGATAGTGGTGGTAGTGATTTGTATAGTAGTAGTGGATAGTGGTGGTAGTGATTTGTATAGTAGTAGTGGGGTAGTGATTTGTATAACAGTAGTAGATAGTGGTGGTAATGATTTGTATAGTAGTAGTGGGATAACGGTGGTAATGATTTGTATAGTAGTAGTGGATAGTGGTGGTAATGATTTTTATAGAAGTGGGATAGCGGTGGTAATGATTTGTATAGTAGTAGTGGATAGTGGTGGTAGTGATTTGTATAGTAGCAGTGTTATAGTGGTGGTAGTGATTTGTATAGTAGTAGTGGATAGTGGTGGTAGTGACTTGTATATTAGTGACTTGTATATTAGTAGTGTATAGTGGTGGTAATGATTTTTATAGTAGTGGGATAGCGGTGGTAATGATTTGTATAGTAGTAGTGGGATAGCGGTGGTAATGATTTGTATAGTAGTAGTGGATAGTGGTGGTAGTGATTTGTATAGTAGTAGTGGATAGTGGTGGTAGTGATTTGTATAGTAGTCGAGGTAATGATTTGTATATTAGTAGTGTATAGTGGTGGTAATGATTTGTATAGTAGTAGTGGATAGTGGTGGTAGTGATTTGTATAGTAGTAGTGTTATAGTGGTGGTAGTGATTTGTATAGTAGTGGAGGTAATGATTTGTATATTAGTAGTGTATAGTGGTGGTAATGATTTGTATAGTAGCAGTGTTATAGTGGTGGTAATGATTTGTATAGTAGCAGTGTTATAGTGGTGGTAATGATTTGTATAGTAGCAGTGTTATAGTGGTGGTAATGATTTGTATATTAGTAGGGTATAGTGGTGGTAGTGATTTGTATAGTAGTAGTGGATAGTGGTGGTAGTGATTTGTATAGTGGTGGAGGTAATGATTTGTATATTAGTAGTGTATAGTGGTGGCAATGATTTGGATAGTAGCAGTGTTATAGTGGTGGTAATGATTTGTATAGTAGCAGTGTTATAGTGGTGGTAGTGATTTGTATAGTAGCAGTGTTATAGTGGTGGTAATGATTTGTATATTAGTAGTGTATAG